GGATCATGACCTGAGCCGAAGGCAGATGCTTAACAACTGAGCCACCCAGGCGCCCTAAATATGCCATAATTATGATTGGTTCTCATGGCTTTTGAAAAGGACACCGTGAGTTTTTTTTTTTTAAAGATTTTATTTATTTATTTGAGAGAGAGAATGAGACAGAGAGAGAGAATATGAGAGGGGGGAGGATCAGAGGGAGAAGCAGACTCCCTGCTGAGCAGGGAGTCCGATGCGGGACTCGATCCCGAGACTCCAGGATCATGAACTGAGCCGAAGGCAGTCGCTTAACCAACTGAGCCACCCAGGCGCCCCGACACTGTGAGTTTTTTATAGAAGCATTTCTGTCTTTTAAAAATAATCCATCGGTACTGTTGTGATAAAGTACAGTTCATCTACCCCAAGTACCTGCTCTTTCTCATCTTCCATTCGGTTTAGTTGGAAAATATGAGAATGTACTGTTGATGTGGAATATTATTCCAACAGTGTGTAGTAATTAAACCTTGAATCACTGCTTTTTTAAATGCCTTTAAGTGATTACTCACGAGTATTAGTTCTCAGCTCTCAGCAGCTTGAAACACAGGGCTCCTCAAAACCACCATTGTTTTCACTCTCACCTTGGCTGGCGGACTCTAGAAATGCAGGGATGGAAGAAGGGTTCGGTGTTCATGCTCGGCAGCAGTCCTCTCTCTGTATTGTCATATTGCCTACTGTAAGCCATTCACTCTGAAGCTACCCTGTTCATAAACATGCCCTGAAAGGACATTCTTCACAATCACAAGATTCAAGTAAAGTAATTTTGATAGCGATAGCAGATATTTATTGCGTGCTCAGTATATAAGAACATTACGTCTCTCTGATCTAACCTTTATATTAACTCCTGTGGTTGAGGTAGGTACTATTGTTACTACCATTATGATGAAGATGCTGAACTTCAGAGAGATTAAATTCTTTGCTGGAGATCCTGCTGCTAACACACAACAGAGCTGGGACTTGAGCCCTGGTCCATATGACACCATAATATGCTCTCAATTATCATGAAAGACTGTAAGCTCTATGAGACAAGAGAGCAGGTCTATCTGCTGTTCCTAGAACTTAGCACAGGGCCTTGCACCCACCAGACATTTGCTGAATGAATGGGAAAAAAAAAAAATTGAGTGAACTGGAAAAAGACTTCTTTGCATTTAATGTAAACTGTGTTATTTTCATTTGTTTTATCGTTGGGAAACAGGAATAATTTGTCAATTTTTTTTTTTTGTTAAATTACATGATGTTAACTAGGCACTTGCCTTTTTAGTTTGCAATCTAGTTTTCATGCTTATATTTATTTTTCCTCTAGTTAATCTCTCTAACATTAGAGCAAGCTGTCATGGATATTAGTGCTTTGATTAAGGTCTTGGATTGTTAAAAGCTAGGTTTCCCATCAGCATAGCAATTTAAATGGAATTAAATATTAGCTTTTTCCTTTAATTAAAGCCTTTATGAAATTGGTGATGCATAAATAGTGAAGAAGACTGTCTTTTAAAATATATAATATTTAGGGAAAGGCAAAAAAAAATTTGACATGAGATACAATTAGCTTTCTTGTTTACAGTTCTATAACTATCATCGGTCACTGATTAGCAAATGCTGCATCCTACGTCTGCTACCAGGCTTCAGGAGAAAGCGCCTCTCATATTACCCCGGATTATTGCGTATCGAGCCCCCAGATTGTTTAGAGTGTCTGTAGTGTGCTGGCTTTGGAGTTTCTGGGCAACTCAGTCGACTTTATATCATCTTAGGTTCACTTCCCTGCCAAGCAAGCCCTAATTATCTTTTTAGATCGCTTAGAGGGAAAAGCTCCAGTTTGTGCTTCTAAGATCCTTGTTAGTTCCTTTTTTACTTTGTGACCTTCTGGCCAAGAATAAAGAGAGGGAGAATTTGTAGCCTTTTAAAAATTCCTACTTCAGGGGCGCCTGGGTGGCTCAGTTGGTTGAGCAACTGCCTTCGGCTCAGGTCATGATCCTGGAGTCCCGGGATCGAGTTCCGCATCGGGCTCCCTGCTCAGCGAGGAGCCTGCTTCTCCCTCTGACCCTCCCCCGTCTCATGTACTCTCTCTCATTCTCGCTCTCTCAAATAAATAAATAAATCTTTAAAAAAAAAAAAATTCCTACTTCAAGTGAATATCTTGCTGTTGCCTTTTATTTTTTCAATTAGTATGTTTCCTGCCAGCCCACTTCAAAGCCTGAGACTGTGTTGTTTTTCTTTCCTTCTGTGAGAAGTTTGCACCTCCCTGAGTGCCCTTCTGAGCAATAGTTACCTGGACTTCTTAATTTGAATCCCTGAGATCGAAAACCATGCTTCACCTTGAAAGAATTCAAGTTTGAATCCAAATGTATCAGGATAGAAATTAAAACACGTGTAAACAGAATTCAGTGCTTTAAAGCCGCTGGGCAGTGATTTCTTCACAGAGCTCCCCTGATACTTTTCAATTATTTAATCACTCTGCAACTTTCTCCAGACCACACAGTCCTAGATTTTTAGACTTTCCTCATAGGATTTATTTCCTAATCCTTATTCTGAAGCACCACTTAATTTCCATTTTCCTCTAATTTGAGGACAGCAGAATAGATCATCTTCTGCTAATCAAGTGGAATATTATTCTTCACCACTCTACGATTCTACTAATCAGTATGGAGTTTACTAGAAGGATTCTCACTAATAACTTAAGTAGGACTATATCGCCGCATCCAGTGTGAACCAAAATATAATCCTTTCTCTCTTCCTTCCTTCTCCCCCCATTCTCTCCTTCTCTCTCTTTTCCTGCTCCTCATTTCCTCTTCTCCTAAACAGGGTCCCCGTGGTCCTGAGGGAGCACCAGGAGAGAGGGGCTTACCAGGAGAAGGATTTCCAGGACCAAAGGTAACAATACTTACGTACTACGAAAAAATGCTTTGTCTTGCATGGTCATGATTTACAACTTTAAAAAATGTGGCCTAGCCAATTATCAGAAGTCAAGTATTTTCCTATCTTCACCCTATTAAATAAAGGAATATGTAAATTTTCCCTTAACATGAAACTATAATGAAATTTGAGATTATAAATAACTAATTGGGGGCGCCTGGGTGGCTCAGTTGTTAAGCGTCTGCCTTCGGCTCAGGTCATGATCCCGGGGTCCTGGGATCGAGCCCCACATCGGGCTCCCTGCTCGGTGGGAAGCCTGCTTCTCCCTCTCCCACTTCCCCTGCTTGTGTTCCCTCTCTCGCTGTGTCTCTCTCTGTCAAATAAATTAATAAAATCTTTAAAAAAATAACTAATTGACAGATTTTTACCTCATGTAATTATGGCACAGGAAAGGAGAAAACTCTTTTAGTTTGTAGTCATTAAAGCCATAGTGATAAATAGCATCTTTATGTCCAGAAGTGACGTTATTGAGCATAGCTACGACAGAACTTTACTCACAGCTTTGTTTTGTGAAACACAGATAAGGAACTACTAAACCAGTTTGTAATCATACTGTCATTAGTATAATAAGAAAGAAATACGGGTGGGAGGACAGAACTAGAATTACCTTGTTATCATAAGGGGCAAAATGCTATGAGAAACGTACCTTTTACCTGGCAATTGAGAATTCAAATGTTTCTACTGCTTCCCATATATAATTCTTGGCACTCAAGTTCCTCTGGACCAGGGGCTGGCAAACTTTTTCTGTAAAGGGCCAGAGAATAAGAATTTTAGGCTGTGTGAGCAGTATGGTATCTGTCAAAACGACTTAGCCTCTGTTGGTGTAGCATGAGAGAAGTCATCAACCATGTATAAATGAGTGAGCGTGGCTGTATTCCAATAAAGCTGTACTTACAAAAAACAAGCAGTGGGCTGGATTTGGCCAAGGGGCTGTACTTTGCTGACCTCTGGTTCCCCCCATCTACCAAAGGCCACACAGGAAATGATTTTCCAAGACACTTTGGGCAGCATCAACCACATTTCAGAGTAAGCAAGAATACATTTTGGGGTCCTTTTCCTTTCTTTTCTAAATTCTTTCCCCCAAACACACGTGCATGCACACACACACCACCCAGAGAACCACATGCTGTTTTCCAAGTGTCTAAGAACTTCTACTTCAGCCATTTGGTCAGTCACTAAGATCTGGCCTTCTCTCTCCAGCCTCATGCTCTAAAATATCATCTCATTCTTATCCTCTTCAGCCATGATCAATATTCTATTGTCTGTGAGAAACCTGAATCTCGACTACAGGGAGATCAAGTAGTTAAAACCTAATTCATACTAAGTTGTGAATGACTGCTGGGTTGAATTTTTAAAAGAGGCCCTCAATAACTAACAAACTTTAATTTGTCATCATCAAAGGAAATAATCTGTAGGAGAAAGGGGACATTCCTAATGTCCTGACTTAACCAGAGTATTACTCTCAGAAGTCAGGCCAACAGCTAAGTGCTACATTTCAGAAAGTTTTATAATACATAATTTCTTGAGTTTTTTTTTGTCATATAGTAAATTTCTATTTATGTGTAGTCCAAACAACCTGGGAAATTCAAATAGCCAGGGTTATTTCTCTTTATAACCTGTGGGGGTTTTTAACATAAATAAGTAAATGAGAAGTGAATAAGTGAAACACTAAGGAGCATACTGCAGGGTGAGTTTTAGTGACAGGTTCAATGTTATAATGATACACTCTTACTCATCATAACCCACAGCACTGCATTGCCCTGCATCTCATCACAGAAAGAATCCATTATATTCAGTGTTACTTTAGGGTCAACTTATGTAATTATACTCTGTGGTAATGATCCCATTAGTCAGAATACTTCATTCCCCAACCAGCAGGGTCAATGGGGGAGTTTTCTATGTGTGCTACTTGGGTTACTTTGCATTGACGTAGAATAAATTATGAATAAAGAGGGACTTAAAGGTGTATTTTCCCTTTTCTTAGGTTTCTTGCAAGTGTTCTTTGATTTTACTCTGGGTTTAAATAAATGCTATTCCTAATTAATAATATGGCTTATTTTTCACACAAATGCACAAAATGTTATGACTTCATTGCAATTACATTACAACCAGAGTTGTCGCATAGGTCATGTGACTATAGAAGTACTCCAAGAAGATTTTCTATGAATCATTTTAAAACTAAATTTTCAATGAATATTTATAAATTACGATATAAAACATTTAATAAGTAATTCAATACTAGCAAGCATTAGTTCATATACTAATATGAGAGACGAATTTTCATTGTGTGATGGATCTAGTTGAGCAGTGTTAAGGAAATGAAGGATTGATTCAGTTTGTTGTACTATATGATTAGTTAGGTCCCCCATTTCCAGATATTTCTATCAGGAATGGAGCTCTTTTCCAGCTTTAGCGATGCTGTATATGTGTTCTGTTTGGACAGATTCCTTCTTATTTAAGAGTATTAAAACTATTTTTTTGCAAGTTACAGATCTTCGGGTGGGCTAGAATTACCCATTTGTAGTGAGCAGTGAATTTGGATGCTTTGGATGCTTCAACTATTTTGAAATCCTGATTTTTATTAATATACTGATATTTCTCCCATATACTTTCAGGGTGAGAAAGGCTCTGAAGGACCAACTGGCCCACAAGGATTACAAGGCCTGTCAATCAAAGGGGACAAGGTACTGCATAAAGGGTATACAATAGGAAAGATGCCACTAGAATTATTTTTGTTCATTATTCTTTATGCATGTACATTTTTGAACTGTATTCAATCTAATGACCATATCACACAGGTATCCAGTTAATTATAAATCAAGTATATGCAAGGTATATTATTATGTAGGAGGAATTATTATCTGAAATACCCCATCATGTTTATTTACAGTAATGTCTCATTTATTTGGGTTTTGACTTCCAGTAAAACTATCTTCAGCTAAGCAGCTTTAATGCCAAACATTAGCAAAACAGACCTCTTCTTAGTAAAAAAGTTTTTTGTTTTTTTGTTTTTTTTAAAGATTTTATTTATTTATTTGAGAGAGAGAGCGCAAGAGGGGGTAGGGTCAGAGGGAGAAGCAGACTCCCTGCCAAGCAGGGAGCCTGATGTGGGACTCGATCCCGGGACTCCAGGATCATGACCTGAGCCGAAGGCAGTCGCTTAACCAACTGAGCCACCCAGGCGCCCAGTAAAAAAGTTTTTTAAAAAATGTATTGACTTGACCCCATTACAGAATGTGCATGTCCATCCTTAGATGCTCACTCAAAAGATATTACCTTAAAATGGGACTAAAATAGGAGAACTCATTTAAGAAAAGCTAGTGCTGATGCCCTCTAACAAGGACCAAGAGGGGTCCACCTATAGCTGAACAAAGTTAGGTCTATAGATTCATTGCAGTGAGGCAGACCACATACCATGGGGAACCCATTACTACTCAGTAAGAAGATGAAAGATTTTTTATAGCATTTGGGCTTGTGTTAGGTGTTTTGGGGAAGTGACTAAGAAAGGAGTTGACTTTGGATTGGATGCTGTTAGGAAGGGAGGTAAATTTTTTTCTTATTTTCTTATGTTATGTTAATCACCGTACATTACATCATTAGTTTTTGATGTAGTGTTCCATGATTCGTTGTTTGCGTATAACCCCCAGTGCTCCATGCAGAACGTGCCCTCTTTAATACCCATCACTGGGCTAACCCTTCCCCCCACCACCATCCCCTCTAGTACCCTCAATTTGTTTCTCAGAGTCCATCGTCTCTCATGGTTCGCCTCCCGCTCTGATTCCCCCCCTTCATTTTTCCCTTCCTGCTATCTTCTTCTTTTTTTTTAAACATATAATGTATTATTTGTCTCAGGGGTACAGGAAGTGAGGTAATTTTAAGACTGGCTATTTTAATGACTCTTACCTAGGAGGTGGGAAAAATGGAGTCAGGCTTAGCTATAATTGGTAAAGAAGTAGCAGTCGCTCACTTTAGCTAGTTTAGGGGGATGTTTGATCATTTTGCTGGGGATAGGTGGTTTGGATGCTGTTTTTTGTTTTTGTCTGTGCTCAGACATAACTATGGAGTGCTCTTGCTTTTATCTTGATTTATCACATCGAATGGCCATATCTGACAGTATTCTGTAAAATTGTTTATGTTCAACACCATGGTCAACCTGTCATTGCTTTTCTCTTTCTCACTAGTTCCTTGTTTTCTTTAAAATAGCTGCAGATCATACCCAGATTAGAAGTGGTAATGAGGCTGGTGCTAGGAGCTCCGGAAGCTAATAAAGCCCTACAGACCACTGGGAAGGGAAAGCTCCCAGAGGTGAAGATGATATAAGAAACGTACAAAAAACAGAGACCTCATATCAATTTGGAGTCATTTATATGTTAATCTCTAAGCATATCATCACATTATATATTAGAATAATGATTTATGTTCATGATTACTTTAGGTGTTGTGTTTCAATTTTGAATGACTTATTTCTTTTATTTACTGGTAGCTGTCTCTTTTAGATATCTGTATTTAAATAGCAGAGATACTGGTAAATAGTGAGTTATACAAATTTTAGTTGTAATACAGTTTTTGGTTCAAATAGTTCAGCTCCAGCTTCAAAATACCCTAAAAATATGTAAGATTGTCTTTCTTCCTTTGGAGCAGTGAGAACTGAGTACAACAGATCTATTGTTTTATGAGTTCAGTAAATTAACTTTTTCAGGTGTTGTTGTCATGGCATTTGTGTTTTTACATCTGGAGCTCATGCAAAGGAAATACATTGAAATATCAGACATTATCACATAGTAATTGCGAGGCTTTCATCAGCTACTCCCTTACCAAATCCTTACCCTTCCCCCTTTCCTCCTTTCCTATTCTTTTTTTTGTCTCAACTTTTTATTTGCCATTTTTTTTGTTTCTTAAATTTCAAGTTAGTTAACATATGGTGTATTTTTTTATTTTATTATGTTATGTTCATCACCATACATTACATCATTAGTTTTTGATGTAGTGTTCCATGATTCATTGTTTGTGTATAACACCCAGTGCTCCATGCAGTACGTGCCCTCTTTAATACCCAT